TGATTACTACTATATAAAAGTCGATGAATTAAATTGATAATTTTCAATCATGCTTTATTGATTGGATTTTTCTTAAAATCTTTGAATCATTATTGATAAAAGACAAAATAAGTACACTTTTTAAATATAAACTAAAGTTTCAGCTTATTAGTCAATTGAATGTATCATCCCAAAAATATACTTGACAATATTTTCTGCTTGTATTTTGAGATATTGAGCGCGTTGAGTATAGCAAGTGCGGCTCTTGATACACTGATGATCGTACCAGCAAAGCCGATGCTACCCGGTACAACTAGACACGTAAATCACCAGTATTTTATCCAGGTTTTTTTCTCCTGAGGGGCGATTTGACATTCCGGGAGGGTGAAAAATTTTTTCGGAAGGGCAAGCCATATAGTTCGTTGTGCAATGATCGCGAGTCTCGGGGGAGAAGGGGGGCCCTCCGGGCACCCCTCTGGATAAAACACTGTAAATCACCCAGTTTACAATTTTAGTTACAAGTTTGATAATATTGACATTATTATGATGTTCATTAAGTTTATTGGTGGTTCCGATAATCTACATAGAAAAAGAACAACTTTTTATTTTGTTGATCAAAAAAGTTAGATTATAGATATGCGAGAGTTTATACTTGTTATCTGATGCTAGCCATATGAACATAATTTCTAGGATGAAATTTCTAGTGATGAGAGTAGTATTTTACAATAAAATAGTTTTTCACTCTCTATTTATATAATGTGTTAGGATTTTATTTTATTTTTATGTAAGAACAAAGAAAAATAAAACTATGAATAGATCAACCTCACCTCACGTGAATGTTATCATGATAGTTAAAGTATTCCAACGTTCTTTTATCTACCTTTAACTTTTGATCTGCTTTCTCATATGAAAACATATGTTCTTTATGAGACAGATATGACTAAAATGATGAAATACTGTATACAATAACATGACTCGAAAATTAATTATTCTTATTCTTGAGTATGTCAGTATATATTAAAATAAAACAAACATAGGTGTTATACGATAAAATTCGCTCAAGTTTTTTTGTTTGTTTTCGTAGTCATTTTTAATCATCAGCTAGAAAACAGGTATGCCTTTTCTTTCACTGCAACTAGATGAGAAAAAAAAGGACATGTTATTCCTTATCGTCATTTATTCTTTATTGTCCCTAACCTAAATAAAATGCTAAAGGTAGGCAGTTATCTATTTTTCGTAGATTTTTGTGCAGTTTGTCTTCTTATTAATTAAGTTCATCTGTTTCCTGCCAAAATGCTTTTTCAAGTCTTCTACTTCTTTGGTTGTTCGAAATGATGCACTTTACGTCTCAGTTAAAGTATCTTTACCCCGAAGATGTTTGATCAAATTTTGTAAAAAAAAACAAATCGTTATTTTTGCAACGTAGTCTTTTTTAGCCGAAAGAATTAAATTTAGAAATTTTACGAGAAGTCAAATGGTTTACTCTCAGTCATCATAGTAAGTTTCTTAAACATATTCATCGACTTTGCTAATCTTAGCAGCGAAACTCTAAAATATACCACTCTACGGCAGTATATCGAGATTGATATACCGTAGGTATAGTATACCGATGATTTCACTGTTATCGTTGCATCTCAAGTCTAACGAACCTTATCTGATTTGAATTGAACTGATAGTAAAAAAAATATATTTGCCACATTCAGTTCTTTATTTTTATGATTTCATTTCATAGTAAAATACCCAACAATGTGTTATTTATGTATCTTGTAGAATTTCATTCAAAGTTGTATGTTTATTTTGAAAAAATATCTCTAATCGTTCTAAGATTATTCTTGTCGTCATGACGAATATTTCTTTTTTCTTTACAATTTTTCAACTCTAAAAACAAGGTCAAAAGATAATATACAGTAAAGTCTCTATATATGGGCACCTCTATAACAAGGGCACCTAGCTTATATGGGCACTCGGCGGAACGACCGATCGATTTTTGCTGGAAGTGAGCCTCTCTAACAAGGGCACCTCCCACCTCTAGAGTGGGCACTGTTTTTTTTAGGCCATACTGTATATTTGAACCTCTCTTATATGGGCAAATATAGTAAATATTTTAATCAATACACTGTTGTTTTTCTTCTCGTCACTCTTTGTTGAGCTGAGAATAAGAGAGAGAAAGGTTAGTCCGATGTAACAAAGAAAATAGCTCATCTATACATTTCTTATTGTGTCGTCAATGATAAAAGTTCGATTATGGATTTTTTTCGAAAAGCTTGATTGTAAATACGAAAATAGAAAATAGAAAATAAGCCTAGATCAAGAAAAGACATAAGATGATCGCAGTAAAATATTGGACATAGTCAGAGGTCTAAAGATCGATTAGTAATATATAAGTGTGGGTGCTCTTTATGACGTAGCTTGCGAAAAACATATTTATGATCGGTATTTGTAAAAAAACTCTATAACGCGGGCACCTCCGTAATGTGGGCGATTTGAAAAAGTCCCGTAGGTGCCCATCTAAGGGAGATTTTACTGTATACCTATACAGCAGCAGTCATATTCATTTCGATGCTAACAGAAACTGAAAAATGTTGAACTATTGTATTTTAGATTTTATTATCTATAATATGGCAAACGATTTAGATTTAAAGAATAATTTTGAATGCAAATTGAATGAAATGTTAGCCGATTTGGATAATCATGATTTTTTACAATCATTTCCTACTCGTTCGAATGTAAAATATGATATTTCAATTCAAAATCCAAGTCTTGCTAGTTTGAAGAAAAAAATCGATCATTTCTTTCAACAGTATCCAGCTATTATTAGTGACATAAAAAATCACTTTTACGAAGATCTTATCATGTATGCTGTTAAATGTACATTTGATCCATCATTTACTAACGATGATATTACTCGAACAAATGAATTGTTTAATAATTTTTTCATTCAACAAGAAAAACATATCAAAATCATATTTGATCATTTTTTTGATGATGTTAAACCACTCATCTTAAAGAGTAAATTTTCACATTCCAAAGTATTATATCATTCGATCAATGTCGTACCAAAATTTGTAGCACGTGAAGTGTCTATAACTTGTTTGAAAAAATTAGGAGCATCAATTTTAACATCATTCATGTATTCAAATCAGACGAATTCGGCTCAACATCAAGATGAAAGTTTGTTTATACGATCATCACCATTAACATATTCATTTTTAAATAAACGTAAAGTTTTTCTATTACTAGTCTTTCTTATTTTATTATGTGCTATATTTGGTTTCAAAATATTCCATTTAATTTTCTATTATTTCATAGGACTTCTATGTACTATGCTTGCTTTATATATCTTTTTGAAGTGTTAATTATAAAAGTGTACATAAGAATTTTTTTTGTGCATTTTATAAAATTACAACTGACATAACTACTGTTATTTTTCTTCATTGTATGATTCACTATGTTATTCCAAAGTATTTTATGAATAAACCAAACTCATTTTCTCTGTTTATGGTCATGTTTGCAATTGAGTTTTGTATCGGGTCGGATTGGTAAGCCCAACAAGGTCTCTGCTGCACAGTATAAATTCAATGGATCCGTTATACTACTGACTGAGTATGCGTGGTCAACACACGAATTGAGCCATTCTATAAGAAGTGGCTACCATTATTGATTGGCCGTAGCAGTGTCGAAACTGGAAAGATATTGAGCACAGTGATGTCTCTATGATGGGTGTCGATGAAGAGAAGACAAGGACCTACATCTACATCTTTCATCCTAAATATAAACAAATGCGTGTTAGTTGAAATTTTCGATATTTTTCCTTTCAATATTTCTACGACATACCCTGTACTTGATGTCTCTTGCAGTGATCACCTCCTTCTAGCGAATTTTCGGAAATATTCATTTGTTCTGAGCAAAACTACAGCATTTAATCCATTTTTTTGTTCGTCAATTCTCAAAACAGCGCTCAACCTTGTCAGGGTACATTATTATATCATGATATCCTTTCATCTAATTTTTATGAATTCTTCTAACAGAATGAACAACATCTCGAAACTAAGATGTATCCTCTAAATTACGTAATTTTCATAGTTTTGACATTTAGATTTTGATAGCAACAGAAACAAAAGAGTGTTCAGAACGATACTTGTATTCACAATAAAAAGTAAAGTGCCCTGTTTTATTATGTTATTTATTTCGCTGATTAATCTGCAAATCTTGCATGATGAAACAGCAGTTAATTGAAATGAAGAAAAGAAAAAGAGATGAATACCACTGGCTAACAATTATTTTGTGAAATGTAAATAATTCGAAGTCATAGAATATATTAAATAAAATTAAAAAAAACAATGAATAGTAATTTTTACGCAAGAACAAATCAATTTACTCAATTATAATTGGTTTTCAAACTCTGAAGCGTGAGTATGGGATGTGAGTAGAAGAAGATGAAAATCCACACCCACACCCACACTCAGCCACAATCAAATCCTCACACAGTCTCTCACATCTTTTCAGAGTGGGATTAGTTTTCAAGACTTTTCAAAGATTTCTTCACTGGTCTTGAATAAAAACTGACACAAAATTTCTATGTTCGTATTCAGAAAGAGCACAGAATTCTAATTCTAATCCATAGATTTTGTCTCGTCTGACATACACTCAAGCGGGCCAAAAGTTAGCTAACATTTTGTCGGAAAAATTTCGTTTCGAACATTATTTATGGGCAAAAAACATAAGCCTGTTCCGTATGACTTCTAAATATTACATCTAGACATTAGTAAGATAAATCGGTTTTAGTTCTTGTTAAAACAAGAATTGATGTGTATTTCGCTATGAGTGGGACTATATCAACCAGCATCGTATGAATCGACCAAACAAAATGAAATTATATCTTTGTATTCGAAGAGTATTTTATTTAATACAATGCGTTTTTAATAAATGAATATAATAAATCAGGGCTCTATGCAGTTTTTGAAAAAAAGCAGTAATAAAATAATTTTGAGTTTAATAGTTCACCGATATGATTGAAGAAACTATGCCATTATAGTGTAGCTCACTTTGGCACCAAATCCTGAATTATCAGGTCGAAAATATAATGGTGTACGTGTGAAAATATTTGATGTTAAATTAGCAGTTCCGACACTGAATGCAATACTGCCAGATGTTGTAGCAATAGATGTTAATCCATCTTGAATACCGACTCCAACATATGTTCCTGGAAAAACATTGATTATATTTGCAGTGATATTATAGGTTTGCCCTAATTGTGTTGTTGATATTTGAGAAGAAGGAACCAAATATTGACTACAAGCCATATAACCACCAAGAATTGGAATAATGCCATAAATCCAAATACGAGTCGATGCAGTTGGTAATCTGGATTGAACATATTGAACAGAGACAGTTCGAACATAACCATTTACTGTACTTGAATCATCGAGATTAAAAACTGTATTATTTGGTGTAATGTATCCACCATTGAGAGTTCGATTTGTCGCATTAATAGTAACAACTGAAGAAAACAGAATGATGATTATAAGAAATAAAAAATAAAATTTTAGTTAAATAGAAATCTTACTTATTCCATTAGTTACAACTTGAACTAAATAAAAAGCAAATAAAAGTAAATTAGCATGAAATTAAGAAAGATAAAACGCTTTTTTTAATCATGTCAATATTTTTTATTAACATTTTAATATGTTTTTGTTAATTGAACGTTTAAAAAATTTCGAAAGGTATTTCATCTTCAGTAAGTTACAATGAAATTAATTTTTTCATGGGACAAGATTTTTACATTAAGATTGAGCAGTTCTCGACAAAAACAATCGACATTGGAATCATTTTTAACGAAACAACGATCTCAACGTTAAACAATGTAGATATTGAATGTCATAATAGCTGATTTTAAAAAAAATGTGGACAACTACATTGCATGACAGTTGGATACGTGGAATTTCTCTTAAGAATAACAAAAGAATGTTGTTGGTAAAAAACTGAATTCAATTTATTCGCATATCTATGAAGTCTTTAACCCTAAACATGTGAAATACGATTGAAAATTTAGTTCAATTATTCTGACTCTAGAAGAATTGTGTGAATGTGCAGTATTCATAATCGATTGATAACAGACTTGAATGAAGTTTCTGAAAGAAATTATTGTGAATTCTATTGTTCCAATCTCATAAGACAAAAACAATATGAACTAATTGCATTGAGCCTAGGACCACTTTTTTGACCAGAACGAATGTTTTTTTTTAACCGTAACTGAGACTACACAATCAGAAAAGAGTGTTTTTTAACCCATCAAAATCGTTTTCAGACTCGGCACGTGCGATCAAGCAAAAAAAGCTTTTTTGAGAAAACATAAAAACGCAGTTATTTTTATAAGTTTTGTTTCTGATCAGTGATCAGAACTGTGGACAAAAATGATAAGTCCCATGAATATCTAAATCTCATATAAGTATCACTCTTCAGTAACATATCAGCTAATTGTATTATATAATCTGTTTTTATCGCATTGGTTCGCATTTTCTTGAAACTGAACCGATTTCATCTCTTTTATAAGGCTTAAATAAATTCTCTCATTACACTAATAACATTTTGGAGATTTAACAGCCAGTGTCCCCATTTTATAGCATCCACAAAAGAAAACAATGTTTCTTTTTCATCAAACGAACACCAAACAATAAAAATGTAGTAAAGAACATATAAATAGACCAAGTTACCTGGACATGTTAACCGAATGCTAGATCCATTGCATATAACAGGAGCCGTTGTTGTAAGCGTTGAATATCTTATTGTAGAAGTTGAAGTGATCGTAGTGATAGACCCTGAACCATTGCTCATTTTGATATATTGAAGTCCAAGTCTTGCTGGACCCAATGCCATAATAGAGAATGATGTTGTTACATTAGGCGAATATGTTGTAAATATTAAAATATAAGTTGTACCAGCTTGCAATGTATATGTTATTGAAAATTGGGCATTTCCACCACTATCATCATCTAATGCAACAAGAGTAGATGCGACATTAGATGGATTGAAACTATTGACACATAAATAACCAAAACTATCAATGCCACTGTTACTTATGAATGTGTAATTTCCTGTTATATTGGTTGTCACTTTAATTGCTTCAAAGTAAAATATGTTTGAATTTCCAGTTCGATAGAAAGTCGGACTGGTATTGTTCAATACACCTGAATAACTTGTTATGGTAGTATTTGGAGGATAGGTTGAAGTGCTAGCTAGAATTATGGAAAATGAACATTATTGAAAAGTTTTAAAAGAAAAAAAAATAAAGAATTCATTTCAAGAAAACTGTTCATTGTTTATATGGACGTGGAAGAATATTTGTTTAAAACACATACAGGAGAATCGGTTTCGTATCATTATGCGTTTCATTACATTCTCATGTAAGACTAACCAGTATGCTAATATTTATAGAAATTCTCACTGATCTACCTCTTTCTTCTTTGTCTTATATCTACGATTTTTGTCATTGTTTGTATGTTTTCATTATTCTTCCCTGTGTTCGTCTCTATTTGTTGCTCTCCTATATAAACTTGTGTTTAATATGGAACAGATACATTTGGAATACGTGAAATAACTCAATAGACATCATTGTCGAGGATAACGGCAAATCATGCCATTCAGTGTGTCATTATAACAAAGGCAAAGTCACCTATTATTCAATCACTTTTTTATTGAGACTAAGTGCATTATGAAAGCACATATGAGAGAATCGAGTTTTGTTTAACGTGCATTCGACAGACTATAGTCTAGAACTGCTAAGTCTAAAGGATTCAGTCGAATTTGCTCACCCAATTTGAGCCAGGAAATCTTATAAATAGTTTTGTAGAGCAAGGTGTAATGTATCGAACGGTATATAAGAAATAAAGTTATCATTAAAAGTTTAATGTGTTGTGGGTCGATACATTGGTTCTTATGTTTGGAAGATATTATACGAATCTATAGACATTGTGGTCTCTAGCATATACTAAGATGAGCTTATGCAGTATTTTTCAAACTGAATTCAGTACAGGTTCTAAGTGCTTTTCAATATTCGATACCCATTAGTTTCCATCATTGCTTTCTTGATGCTTAAAAATATTCATTTACCATCCGTCTAGAGTATTTGTTGATTATGAGACATTTTTGTGTACTCAACCTTGTATTACAGAAATAAGGTAATATCAACGTGAAAATTTCTCAAAAACTGTCACTATAGAGCTTCAATGTTTCACTGTTAAATTTTTCAGATAGAACAAGAACCCATTGTCGAACAATTAGATTAGCTTATCAAAAAAGCCTATTTTGATATTCAATGGAGACAATGTATTGACCATTTTTTAACAATACTGTAAAGTTGTTAGAAATATTTTGTTGTGTCAACATCTAAGGCTAGACTCTTGATTAGCTAATACGAATATGATCTTTAAAAACCAAAAAGTATGTTTGACTTCTGGGTCTCTGGAGGGGAGGTACAACGATATGGTTGCAAGAAGGATATCTGATATTTGTACTATTTCTTTTTTAAGTTTTGACTCCGAGCAACCACAGTAAATAAACACTTAGCTTATTATTACTTTAGAAAAACTTGATTTTTTAATATATCATTCGTCGCATCACGAGTTTCTCTACAAGACTATGCATATATCGTATCCTAATTCAAGATAGGTCACTAAATCCAGAGATGGTCCTTTTGAGTCTTTTTCGCATAATATTCACCGAATTTCGATCAGAAAAATGACCACTAGATGAAAATTAATAGCATATTCTGAATCAGCATCGCAAATTGTGTTGATCTATGTGTATATCAGACATTGTTTTTATTCATCGAAAAATTCCGTCTTGCTTCTCTCAGGGTTAGTCCAAAAAGGAATTTTAGCAGTGGCAAGCAAGTTCTAAGGTTGTAAAATGGTAGTAGAATATAAACTGACAGATATCTAAACAATTAAAGCAGTGTTTTGATGAAGTTCATTTTGTGGTTCAACTCTGAGGAGGGGTATGGGAAATTTTTGCGATGAAGAAATAAGTCATATTAGAAGAGAACTTACATTTAAAAAAAAAACTTGGTTAAAAAGTCAGAAATTTTTTGATAGCAAAACAGCAAATTTGTTTTTGGAAGCGCTACAAGAAATTTTCTGATTTTATTTGACGTAGCCTTTCTAATGAGATGTTGCCCGATCTGAACGGACAATACGATGCCCGATGTACAGGCCAAATAATGAAACTAACTAATAATGTCTTCTGAAATCTGGTTTCTGTTTTATCACCTATAACTCTGTGTAATAAAATCTCAGTAGCCTAAATTTGTTTTCGTAAACTTAATGTTCGATAGGGGACTCAATTGATGTAAAAAAATTATATGTTAATTTATGATCATAAAATTAACTTTTTTGATGTATTCACCAAATCTATAGACTATCATCGAGAATAGAGGAGTTCTAGGCAGCATTGTTATCTTTCTATTATTAACTTCGTCTTAAAATTATACTTAATTTAACAGTTATATGCCAATAATAATATTCATAGTAAAGACAAGATTCTCTTACATTAAAGTTTTAATCTACTTACTTGTTGCTGGAGCACTAGTAGTAGTAAGTACTGTTGATGTATTTGTTACAGGAACAAGAGTAACTCTTGTTGCTCCAGATGCAATCACTGTATATGAACCTGTTACATTTTCATAGTAGGTTGTTGCAACTAATATATAGACAGTATTTGGTTGTAGATACAATGTGAATTGAAATTGTGAATTAGAACCAGTATCATCATCTTCTACCAAAAAATTCAAGCTTGTTGAAGACGGCAAGAAATTGTTGACATACAGATAACCATATGTATCAATAGAAGAACTACTTTTGAATCGATAGTAACCAGCTGTTGAAACATTTACTTGATAGGTTTCATAATAATAGTTTGCAGTTCTTCCTCCATAACGTAAAAATTTTCGACTATTTGTTGTCCATGCCGATGAATAGGTGGTATTGACCCCAGATACATTTACTAATTTGCAGAATTAAAAAAAAAGAAGATTTCAAACTCTTCATATTTTCAACGCAGAAAAATTAAGATTTCCCTTCGAAAATCTTTTATTGTGGTAGATGTAGGTGTAGGGTGTGACAATGAAGAAGAAATGATGGTATAATCAATTCTTACGACAATCTAGAGAAAATCGAGTCAGATTACATTTCATTTGCACTGGCACAGAAAACAGTAAATATAATTTTAGTTTTCGTTCGTCGAATCTAGTATCACGTCAAGCCTCACCCTTGTTCCATCAAAAAATGACTTTGGTTCAAGAAGGTTCAAATCATAGAAAAATTCCGTAATATGCTGAGACTGTTGTCAAAAGGATACGAAAAACATACTCAACTCTATATCATGATGCTTTTAGAAGATATTCAACAGATAAAAGTTAAAAATAACTCGTTTCACTATACGAATTTCTCTGTACGTGATCATTATGTAGACTTGAATGTTTTGTTTGATTGAAATAACAGAGCAGGACAAAGCCCTTGTTTTTAATTCTTACTTTTCGAGCGAAGAAAATTTCAAGGTCTCAATAAATGATGCTCTAAGAATAAAAATACTCTGTCATGTACTAGTAACAAAACTTAATTCAAACAGCGAGTACTGCACCTTGACATGCTCATTCTATCAAAAAACTAATTAATGGCTATGATGATTTTCCTTCAAGAACTCTAAGATGCTCATTCAAAAACACAAACAAGAAAAATCGAAAACTATTTTTCGATTTTGCATCAGTTTTCAATTAAAAAGTGGCGAAAATCATTAAATGTTGCTGAAAAAAAAGTCATACCAAATCAAAAGTTATATCATTGTTAGAAGAATATATTTGAGTTATCTTCCCATGCACTTATCATAATTTTCATGTTTTTGACGAAAACTGACCTTTTTGAGAAGAGGCAGGGAAACTTAATCTGCTATTAGGGAGCTGCGAGTAAACGATTTTTTAGATCTGACCCAAAAAAAATTACAAAATTTGAACCCGAGCCTAAAAATGAATATAATTTTGGATCTCTTTTATATCCGCAAATCAGATTCCAACACTGTGTTTTCTCTACTTATTTTCGGTGTAGCGCATAGACTAGTAGATTTTCAGAACCTTCTGATGAAGTGTAATGCTGATTATAACTTACGATAACAAGAAAAGATTCGTTCATCTACTCGGATATCAAGCTTCACTCTGTTCCATCCAGGATAACAATCAAAACAATTTCTCTAGCATAGTACAACGAAAGACAAAATATGGAACACAGGGACAGAAGCAACAACATAACACACGAACCATGGATAGCAGATGGACAGTAGCATGTTAGAGAGAAGAAGAGAACGCAGATCAAAGTTTATAATAATCAAGAAATAGTTTAAATAAGGAACCGTACAATTTGTAGGGTGTCCAGCTGGTATTTTAACTATTGATTATTCATTCCTGAAAATTTCGGCTTATATGGTCTATTTTATGTGATCAATCTATTGAGAGACGGCCTCTTGAGACTTAAAAACTGACTGTTTAGAGAAATTCAACCTTATACTTCTGTCCATGTGATAAGAACCGCGGTTAGGCTCTCAGTTAACCGACAAAAATAACCTGACAGCAAGCGATCAGACAGATTTTATTTCGTTTAACTGGGCGTTTAACCGCGGTTAATCAACCATCGATTTTCAAAAGTTTTCTATCACATGGGTGTACTTTTTTATATTTCAAAAAGCAAACGTTATTCTTCAGAAATGAACAAAAAAATGGCAATTTTCAATGAAAATTTATCGTTTAAGTCTTAATCTATTAAACTAAATAATTGTTTTACGTCTACAAATTTTTGAGTGAAAAAGAAATCAGAAAACTAATTTCTTACATGGAGGTGGTGTTGTCGTTGGTGGTAGTGTCGTACCACTTGCCGTACAATTGTAAAAACGTCGAAGTGCTTGTACATCATACACACTTAAATTACTCCGTTGTCCCAAAGTAACATTTGCTTGATTCGCTACAATAGTTGGCAAACCATTTGTAGAAAATGCAGTCGAACTATAATGCATTAATGATCCGTAATCATACGGTGTATTATAAGTATTCACTGAATCATTATCAAATCTGTCAAAATTATATGACATGCCTGAATGAATAGAACAAACATTTATGAATAATTTTAGTTTGAAATAGTTAATGTTACAAAAACCGTAATCTATGGTGCTCAATCAATTGCTTTTCATTTCGATTTCACTTACGTATCTATAGATGTGTGGTAGTTCTCGATCAAAAACTGATTATGGAAACTTCTTCTTATCTGATTGATAGAACAACTACTGAGTACAATCATTAGAGTGCTACTATCAATAGAACTAGATCAATTGCAGAGAATACATTATAGAGACCAAGATCCAAAAAAACCCAGTGGCAGGAAATAGGTTTCAGAACAAGAACTGCTTCATAGAACCGTGAAATATCATAGATATATATGCATACACGAAACAGTGAGTTATTTTTGCCATCAAACCGAACTTTGATAGCTCATATCGTCATTGTGATATTCCATTTTTAATAGGACATTCTTTTCCTTCAAACCCAAGTAAAAATACCGCACGATCCTCGTGTTACAGGTACTATTAGTAGTTAAAGTTCATCAATTGATATCGTTTACGAGATCGGCTTCTGAATGCTTAAGGGATAAGTATCGGTAAAGCGTGTTTTTGTGTTTAAAATACTTTATACATATTTAGAATCAACTCTAAACTCTGAAGGTTTGTTCTGTCGAAAAACACCTTTGACTTTATACCTGTAGTTTAGCGTTTGTGGGAAAAATCAGAACTAGTAGCAAAATAAGCAGATTTTACGGAGAGGACAAATTAACGATAAAATATTTTACGACGAGGGCATTGCACTAGTAGCGGATCCGACAAGGTGACTAAGTTGCTTCCGTCAGGAAGCTTTTTGAAAAACACAATTTTTTCGTCTGAAGCAGTTCAAAAACCCATAGGAGAAGGGGCTTAGTCCCCCACGCCTAAAATTCTGACTCCGTCATTATATAATATTTCCGTGCTTTCCCTTTGTGGCTGCGTCACTACACAAAACTATCGAAGAAATCTGTTCTTTTTTCTCAAGTATTTTTCATCAATATATCATCATATGCGGAGTATGATGCTGATTCTAAATATCAGGGCGCACTTTGAAAAAATGGAGTTTTCACTGAGAAAGACCTGTTTCACTCTAGAAAGCTAATAGAGGACTGTCTTTAGTTTCCAGCGATAAGGAATGACACTATAAAGTCTAAAATGCATGTTATTGTATGTTAAGTTGCTTTTTCAATCAGAAACATGTAAAACAACTGTTAGCGAAGTGCGAAAAACTCGTCTGTAATATCGAACTATGATCTATACAAATTCACTTTTGAGTAAAATGTGTATGGAATTTGGAATCAGCATTTTAAAATACAGCTGGTAACATTTATTTTGTAAAAAAAATTATTTTTTTAAAACTGAACTTTTATTTGCTTTCACCCCTTTTTTTGCCGTAAATTCACCTGTACTTCTCCTCAGCCAAGTTTCGATGAGAAATGTTTTTTTGACAGAATCTATATTACTAGACTAGCCGGGCTCCCTCCAAATGGCACGGTCCTTTTTTAAACTGTGTTTTGACTATTATAGACTTTAATGTGCGTTATCTCCTTCTGTGTAACATTTATGCTTTCTTTGCATGAGACAGAGTGAGGGTAGATGTCATAGTAGGAGAATGAATCTCTTCTCGTTACCGTAGTCTATAATCAGCCTCACATGCCACCAGACGGTTCCGAAGGTCTGCTAGTCTATACCATACATCGAAAATAAGCAGAAAAAGAACGTGCTCAAATCTCATTGGCTGATAGTAAGAGTTGCCATCGTCGTCTGTAGATTCTCTACCAGAAATGTATGACTTCCACAGAGAAAAAGTGAAAAAAACAGTGATGAATTCTAATTAATTTTTTCTGTCAGTCAATGAGAGAGGCACCAGACAGACACTTGATGTTATATACATTGATTGATTCTAACGTTTGCAGTTTTTAAACATGTTTTCACATGCTTTTAATTACTCTTGAGGGATAGTCGAAGAGAGTATGAAAAGCTATATCGGCTTATCACCCTGTAAAACAAGACCAACTTGCCTCAAAACTTCATTCTTTTGAGTGTTTCATGCTCAAACTGTGCAGTATGAACCGCCTTGTTTTCAGATAAGTCTGATTGTAAAAGCACATTGGAATATGATAACTTGCATTGTAGACTTTGCATTTCTCAGCGAAAACTGCATTTTTTTCCAAACTTCGTCGAGAAATATAAAATCAGCGTCGAATTGCGCATATGATGATAAATCAATCAAAAGCATTTGAAAAAAAATTGTTTCGATGGTCGTAAGATTTCCAACTAGTTAACCCCGTTTAGTCTGAGTCTGAAAATTTATATTGAGCTCGTATAAATTGAAAGAAAACTTTGTTGGAACTGACAATATTTCATGAATTTGTATAAATTTTCGTTTGTTTTCTTCGAGAATCAGCAAATTTATGTGTCAAAAACAGGGACACATTTATGGTTTATAAAATGCGACTGTTTGCTCATAAGTTTTTTATTAAATCGGCAAGTTCTTTCTTTTTTTCTGATTTTCATGTACTTAATTTAGTAACAAGTAAAGTATTATATGTAATTAAATGCTTATTAAATAAAATAATTTATACAAAACATCTGTAACTCATACCTCTAATTTTCTATTAGGAACTGTTGATTAGGAGTAAGAACTGTTAGTAATTTAATTATTATTTTGTCACTATCTACTCGTTTACAGAATATTAGAGTGAACTACTCATCGAATAGAAGAATTTTAAAAAAAGTATATCTTATTTTCTGAGCGACAATCACATTCGAATTAAAATCTTTCATTGAAGGGTCTGAGGGTATGGTTTAAATTTGAAACAACAACTAATTAATTAATCAGCTTCGGATTCAACACTGACTGATCATGTCCCGAAATTCTCGACTCTGACTGGCTCTATTCTTAACGGACACTAAAAGGCCAAAATCGTTTTACGACAGAGAAAACTTTCAGAATTTAATATTAATTCTGAATAAACAAAAAAAAATACTTTGAATGAAAAAGACTCGCCTTATCGATACCTGTCCTTTCAGCCTTCAGAAGCTGATTACTTAAAAGACATTGATTGATGCATTTTAAATACTAGCGACCCCTGTAACTCGAGCATAGAGCAATATCTTGATCTGAGTTTGAAGGAAATTGATCTCATGTTAAAGATAGAATATCTTAATGACGAATTGAGCTATTGAAGTGCAGTTAATAGCAAAAAAACTAACTTATTGGTGTATGCATATAAGTGAAATAGACACTAAAACCAAATTGCTTGAGCAGCATAGGTCATAGCTTATACTAATAAGAAACATTACAATACCAGTTTGTATATTAGCCCAATTAATTGTAACATATTGATCACGATCTGGTCTTGATTGTTCATGTTCAAAACCTAATGATAGAAAGAAAAAGGCAACATTATTTTTATTAGTTTATAAAAAGAAATATCGATTGCTATGCGTAGTCATTTCACTCAAGTGATATCAACATATCGTCAACATTATTTACAACATCGCACAAATCCTACTTTGTTTCCAGAACTTCTATAAACACGAGGTAGTTACGCTTCTATTGTAGGATTGTGACTGCAGATATAAGTATGACTTTGCTCTAATTCCATACCCATACCCCACTGTTGTGGAGAATGTTCCCATTGGGTAAAAATCTGCTAAATTTCATCTTTCTTTTCATATTTCCTTGATAAAAGCCTTAAAATAAGTTCAAATTTCAATTCAAACAACATATTCCTAATCACATCAAAAAATATACCGAATCATGTATATTTTATTGAACATTGTGTCTGATGAAGCAAGATATCTGACGCCCTTCTCAACTCTATCATTGAAAATTTCTGTCAATGGACTTCTCCTTACAAGGCGATTTTTCCAAGAAAAATACGTTTACTTTAAAAATAGGTGATTCAACGCAGTTTTTGCACTATTACTGAATATGATGTTTAAATTGAGATTTGAACTTATTTTAAGGCATATATCAAGGAAATATGACCAGAAAAACGTATTTTTGAGGTTTCTTATCCATATGAACATTTTTCGCAACTTTTGAACTAAGGGAAATTCAATAGAAGAAACTTTTCAAAACTGGGTTGCAGAAAATGTTCTGTGTGATCGCTTTATTTGTTGAAGTATCTCGTTATAACTCTGTTACACGAAATGTCAGAAGCCGAAAAATTTGTTTATAAAATAACTCTGCTGACGAATACTCGATTGATTCGTGAAGTTTCTTTGAGAAGCTGAAATTTGAAACATAGTTAAAGTCTGCTAAAAATTAAACAAAAAATAATCGTTGATTGATCTCTTCTAATGCCCATTTCAAAAAAGAGGCGGGTGGGTATGTTTTGAATAACTTTTGAACAGATTGAGCTAGAGAGCTGTGGTTTTCACCATTCGAAAGAGAACATGAAGACGCGCCGAACCATATATGAAAACATTTTTTCTAACTACTTTCCTAACAGTTTTACATAAAGCTTTTAGAAAAAACAGCATGCTTCTCATAGTCGCCATATTAATTTATTGGTTTTCAGAAGGGTAGTAGGATCACCAGATGAAGAGCTACAAAATTATATAAAAATTCTATTCCTAAACACTACCAGAAAGATATCTGAGCTATTGAAATACAATTGACTATCCAATTTTTTCGACAAAATAATCGAAAAATTTAAGTTTTTCTAGTTTTTTTGGCAAAAATCACTTCAAAACGTATGAGAAAAAAAGCAATTTTTTGAAAACGTTTGACTAACACTGTTAGGAAAGTAGCTAGACAAAATGTTTTCATATACAGTTCGGCGCATCTTCATCTCCTCTTTCCAATGGTGAAAATCGCAGCTCTCTAGCTCAATCTGTTCAAAAGTTATTCAAAAAATACACACTCGCCTTTTTTTTTGACATGGGCATTAGTTACTGAGAAGCTAAAAAAACTGAATCAAAAATCTATTAGAACTTTTAGTAGAATCATACATCTATCGGATGATGTCAATATATCAAACAATATATATAGCATACTAACCTAATGCATGTAATAATTCGTGCATAATTGTTCCAACACCGAGACAACCAGAAACTTGCAATGTAACTGTACGATTTAAGTTCATGCCTGGATTTTGTCCGACCTAAAAAAGAGGAAATTCAAGTGGAAATTATATAGAATTTTCTATTGTCATATATATTCTTAGAATACTTACATATGATGAACAGCCGTTTCCATTATAGAATATAATATAATATGGATCGGATAAGTTTCTTGGTCGAAACTGAACACAACGATAGTTATTCATAGCTACCGTATTTTCTAACATTCGCATTGCAGCAGTAATAATTAATTCTTGTTCATAACCTAAAAATGACGATTATCATGATTTTATTTTTAATTAAGAAAATATACGAACTATATCCTGTTGCAAATATGTATGGAACAATTCCATTAGGCCATGCGACTCCAGCACCACGAAGTATTCCTGCACGCTAAATTTCGTTGAAAATAATTAACCAAGATGAATGTCATGAAAATAATAAGTCAAAAATAAACTTACGTCACTTAGTCCAAGAATAGTTGGAAATTCCATATCACCTTCAATGCGGTTACCTATAAAATGAAAAAGAAAAACAATTTGTAGGTATGAGACATGCTCGAATTTCCTCAAACGAACTTGTCAGATTCTTATAGAGGAAAGAGTTTTTGACGAAAGTCGATCAAGAAAAAGTCTTACTCCATTGTCGAGATATTGAAATTTTTCTGAAGGCATTATCATCAGAAAAACACATTTTCATAATATTCATAACAAAGATACATTCATGTGACTTCAAAATTTTTTCTGTGAATGTACTTAAAGTTGATGTGGTTATTGTTGAAAAAATGGGTTCACATGAGTGAACTGTTCATGAGTTTTAGAGACCTGCGATTTTCACCGTTAAAGAGAAGAAACCTCCAAAGTATATCGAAATTTGATTGATCAATTATGGATCAATCAGATGAATTCTTGGTAAAGATTATCGGAAACGATATTCTAAAGTTACTTTCCTTTTGATTTAGAATTTTAATAAGATTGTTCGATGGAAAAAAAACTTTTTTTCTTTCGATCTATGTAAGGTCCACATCCCTTGATTTCAGTTAATTGATCTGTTATTGCCAAGAAAGGTAACTACACTCAGGTAATTGATCATCTTGAAGCAAAGGGTGATGTTTGTTTTTAGTTGTGAAATGATATCATACCCATATCTCAATAAAGCTGAAATTTCACGATCAGTCTCCATATAACGAGAGTGTCAACATTTCGAAAATAATATAATATTGATCTCAGATCATTTCAAAAGTAAGCACAAATATCATCATTGGATTTTGGATGGTGAATTATCTCAGTATAACTATCATTCCTGGTGATAACAAGTAATTGGCTGAAATCAAGGGTCTCAAAAGAAGTCTTATTACTCGTGAATGGAACTAGCTAGGAATGTAAGACTTACATAAGTTGAAAGAGAAGAGTGTGGGTGTTGCTAGCCTATTCATACACTCATACTCACGCCCTCGAACTAAGGATCGTAGAAATTCTCTTTTTTCAAAATTATTATTCATGATAAGCCGCTGAATGATCAAAAATGAATTGTGTTGTGTACGAACTCTAGCGAAAAGTCTTACTGTAAAGCATAAAGTTATCGCTCCATAATGTATTTTCATGACAGATCGTGTTGTCTCTCGAACAAGTTTATTTTGAACTATTGTAAGAATTCCGTTCTACAGAGATTTAGAAATATTACTACAAATAAACGTCTGCTTAGTTTCGTACTAATATTTTTCGTGCAGACAAGTGTTCAATTCGATTTTCTAAGCAAAAAAAGAAATCATTTCTCATTTTGTTATGTAGGGTGGTAGCAGTTACAGAAGATCACCTGTATCACTGATCTACGTTAGAGTAGTTCATCGATCAAGACATGCAACAACAAATGAGTTAGTATGATGAAATATTACCCCAGTTATTTATTCTACAAATCACAATTCTATAGTTTATTTTGTTCAAGGAGCATCACATTTTACTTTCTACAGATTAGACTATCGAATTTCGATATGAAACTATGTTTAATTGATTGCTCATGATTATTTTTTCTTGTCGCCAAATGATCAGTGATCTTTTAGTAATTAATGTTGATCAATATTGTTGAAAAAAATAAGGAATATACAAATCTGAGCTAATCATATGATTGACAACTTACGATTGAGTTCCAGTTCGCTTTGCGTTAGCAAATTTTTCTTCAAAAAAAAAATAAAAGAAATATAGCTGTAGCAAAATCAATTGATAAATCATGCTAACCTTTGACGTTGGAAGCTCATTGGTTTGACTAATGATGATGAAGCTAACTAACACAATAAGATATATGTTGATCATTGGTTATCTTGAATAACGTGTATGAACAATAATCCTTGTTTGAATACCTATGAAATGTGTACATATAATTCGCATTAGTAGTTCTATCATCACTGTTCTAACCGGATATCACGTTTTCGTGTGAATGACGGAATATCGATATCGAAACTTCCTCACTTTTGTTAACAGTGGTATACTCTTTGTATCGTCTGATCCATTCTTACAGACTCTGATTATTAAGGAAGACTTTATGAGTCGAGAGTGTGTGCTTCAAAAGCGACAGTGAAATTCCAATCGTTAACATAAATTTATGCCTTTTTCGCATCACATTCGTTTAATTTTAATCAGCAAAATTTAGATTTGATCAAAGCTAATATCATATTCTAAATCAGCAACAAAGACTTAGTCGGCTTATGTGTATTTCAGACACTTCGTTTGTTCACCTAAAATTTCCCCATACTGTCCCTCAGGATTGGGACGAAAATGGAATTTCACCAAAAAAAGTCATTTGGATAGTGATAAACAATTTCTAAAGTTGTAAGAGGATAATAGAACACAAACAGGTCTATATTAATATAATTAATGTTGTATTTTGGTGAAATTCGTTTTTCTGAACAAACGTTGAGAGATACGAAGAATTTGTTTGACCAAAAAACGTGTGAAATGCACATAGGACGACTGAGTTTTTGGTGCTGCTTCAGAATATGATATTAGTTTTGACTAAATTGTCATTTTTTAAACGAAATTCAGTGAATAC